GCCAGACCAAGACGTGGGACCCCAGTCGATGAAGTCCCTGACTGTTGGCTTGAGGCATTTGGAGATGATGTAGACTGCCTGGTTGGGGTCCCCGAGATGAAAGGAATCAGTGGTTGAGGACTATAGGTGACAATGGCGCAGATGTCTTCTAACGCTTGAATATTCACTCTAACCTTTATCTTCAAAGTGTTTATTCTCTCACATAACTTTATCTACTTTGATATAACTCTTATTCTATCCACCTGTTTTTTGTGTACTACAGTGAAGTTCGGCAAGTCGAACTGATGCACTTGTGTGAGGTTCTACGTTGATTTTGTCATTTAGTCACTTGTCAACAAGGCGTATCTGCAACTGATGTCTCGTCTGAAAGATCCAAACCCACCCTACTGAAAACCTATTGGACCGGGCCAAACTAAGATCGATCAGAGATTCCTGTCGATTACCTTCAACCAACTAACAAACAGTTCAATTCATGCAAAGCGTTTATCGCCTTTAGCATACATCGTCTACAGTATTTTTGACCGTTGTGTGGAATATCATTTTGATTCACTTTAAAATTATTATTACTAGTGGAACATACGGCTTTAGAAGAACGTTTCCATTCTACTCTGTTCTCTGCAATCTTTTGAACCTGGCTCCACGACAGCCCATAAGCTTTCATTTCCTTCTCACATGATCTCTTCCATATCACCCTTGGATGCTCAACTCGTCGTTTTTCATTTGGATTCCACTCGACGGCCTGGCATGTGGTGTCACCGAATGGTTTTCTTAGTGTATGCCCAATCCATCTCCAGTTTCTTCTGCATATTTGTTGGGTGATAGGTTCTTGGTTGGTTCGTTTCCAGCCAGAGTTTCTAACTGCTTATTCTTTCTGGCCATCTGATCTTCATTATCGAGCTTAGACAGCTGTTGACGAGTGTCTGTAGTTTATTGGAAATGCCTTTCGTAATGCACCAAGTCTCTGAACCATATAGAAGCACTGACTTGATATTAGTGTTGAAAATCCGGATGTTGTTCGCACTGTATGCTGAATGCAGTAGATCTCCATACTGGTTTCAGATTAATAAGGAAGGCCTGTCTTACTGTCTTTCCTATCCTTGCTTTGACATTCTCGTCTGTGCCGCCTGTAGTTGAAACGATACTGCCTTACCTGGGTAGGTGAAAGAGATAACTTCCTTCAGATTTTTCATATTGATGGTGATTGGTGCTTGTTGTTGTTAGTGGTGGTGGTGGTGGTGGCGGTGGCGATAGTTGAGTATCTTTTTCTGTCACCTCTGTCTTCTCTACGTTCACTTGAATTCTCATTTTCGCTGCTTCTTCTGTCAACTTGTTGGTTTTTGCCTGTAGATCTTCGAGTTTGTGCAATATTAGACACAAATCGTCGTTGGCAAAATTCAAATCTTCTAGGGTCTTCTCTTCGGTCCAGCTAGCGTATGTTCGTCTTCTCTCTCTTCACGGTTTGCTGCATGATCCAGTCGACCACAATCAGGAAGGTCATCGGTGATAGTAGGTGGCAGCCTCGTTTTACTCCTGTCCTCACTTCAAAGGCGTCACTGAGCTTTGCATTGTGAATCACTTGGCATGTGGCGTTTTCATATAGCTGTAGAATGAGGTTGATAAAGGTTTTTGGTATTGCTTAGTGTTAAAGCAGCTGCCAAATTACTTCTCTGTCCACGCTGTCGAAGGCCTTTTCAAAGTCGATAAAGTTGAGTCAGAGTTGAGTTGATTGTTGTTGTATACTCTGTTCTATGATGATGCGAAGCGTTGCAATTTGATGCGTACATGATTTGTTCTTCTTGAAGGCAGCCAGCCAGCTGGTCGTAATTTTGAATCCAGAGCATTGTTTATTGTCTCCAGGTCTTCTCTTCAGGTAACAATTATCATTTTGTGAATTGATGAATTCTCAGGCCTTAAAATCTATGGCTTCTGCAGTTTGAAGCAGTCAAATATTTATAGCCTTCATTTAACTTCAACATACTCTGTTCACTGCACTGGGATTAGACTGTATCTTCCATCTTGTTTCTTGAATCAAGAAAGACATCCTATTGCCTACTTCTTGATACACTTAGCTCAAAAACACAAGCTCAAATAGCATAACGATGACTGCACAGGTGTTAATGTAATCACGGGAGAATTTTTGTTAGACCTAGAATACGCAGATGACAGTCCTGTTAGGTGAAAAGTCTCCTGAACAGTCTGAGCGGCAGTTTGAGAATGTTTGGAATGCGTTTCTCACTACCCAGATGCTCCAGGACTGGTCTTCAACGGCGCTCAGACTAACAGCAGAGAGTGTAGTGGTTGAGTGTATCGACCACTTCACTTACCAGGGAAATGAATTGCGATCAGCCCTTGTGCGTTGGTCAGTGGTCGATGAAATCTCTGCACGAATACAAAAAGTTCGGCTGCTTTTGCCAACCCACACCACCTGTGGCGCCGCCATGATATCCGACTGTCTATTGAGGGTCATGTGTACTGCACAGCAGTGCGGTCTGTTCTACTGTATGGTTGTGAAACACGGCCATTGAAGGTGGAATACATGAGGCGGCTGGCTTGAGGTGTTTGACCATCGTTGCCTTCGTTGTGTAGACCATATTCTGTGGTGTCACCATGTGAGTGAGTGATGCAGAAGTGGGGTAGGTGTAGGTGTGGGTGTAGAGTTTTAGGGAGAAGATGTGAATGAGTTGATGAGGTTGTGAAGCTCCATTGAGTGAGATGGTTGGTTGGGACATGTGTTACGTATGCGTAGTTGTCGATTGCCTTGTCACACAATGTTGGTGGAGTGGGTTGAGGCTGGATAAGGGCTGTTGGCTGTCGGTGAGACTAAAAGATGTTATGAATGTGTTAAGTGTCTGAGTGTTGATTCGAGGGATGTTTGGCGTTGCAGACTAGGTGGTTGGGTTCGGTGGGCGAAGAGGAAGCAGTGGTTTGAGACTGACTGTAGGTGGTTACGTGGCTGAGAAGTGGTGTGAGTGTCACATGTATACACACAGATTATCGTCATCTTGACGATGCTTTACCCAATCTCAGCATTTTTTCGTTCTTGAATTCTCATTTTGTGGTTCATATTTGTTTTGATTGAAGTTTGTATTCTTTATGTTTCACTTGACTTCCTTGTTTACTTGGTGTAATGATATGAGGTGTGGCAACTCGGATGGTTAGGCAGTGAATACCTGGTCGTATGTTGATAGATGATGATGATGATGATCAAGAAGTCTCATCTCCTAGCATGTTACTACTGTGAGTTAAAGGACATACCTGTTTGAAGGTTTGTGAAGAGTGATTGATATCAAAGAGAAGAAAAGACGGTCTCCTTTGTCTTCAGAATAGATCATTAGTGGGTTGCTTTTTATGCATGCATTTATTCTTCTACTGAAAGATGTAAACTAGGTGATAAATAATCACAACTTATTTTATGGTAATGATGGATACTGGCTAGCAGTGGGATCCAGGATGCGCATTTCGTCTTTTTTGTGACTCATCAGTTAGATATACCTACCTCCCAGTGAGCGATGTTGTTCCCACCGGGATTCGGACTCGGGAGTGATCGCTTCAGACGTCAGAGCGTTATCCCGCGCTGAGCGCATCCTGGATTCCGCTACTAACCACTATCCACTATCACTATTATAAGAGTACAAGTAATATCGAGGTTTCCGCATAGGAGCCCATATACCAATGGAGAACGATCAATTCGGTCTAATCAACGACGGTATAATACAAGCAATTATACTTATTTTATGTTTTCAGGAAAGAATTGGAGATGTAATCATAGCTAAGTATCTTTCTTTTTTGAACTCAATTATTACAGTCTCGTATTCTCATTGTTTCAATTGTTCCATTGTGATTCAGTCGTTCTATGTTGTCAAGTTTTGTTGAGCCAGAATTTCTATACATTTGTACTGTTGCTGAAATCTGATACGACTAGTAAAATGCTTTGCTTCCTAAATGAATCGAGAATTCAGCATATTTTCAGATATAAACAGGAATATTTTGCTTTATGTCAAAATAGTCTTCATATAACTGGAAAAAATAATTTTAAAACAGTTTCATATTTATGCCGAATGGTGATTAAAGGTGAAATGGGAATTTGAACCGCTGCTGGATTCGAACCAGCGTTCACTGGATTTCCAGACTGATGCTTTACTAACTGAGCCTCAAGGTCTGACTGCTGACCACATTTTTAATTCACTTCAATCACTATGAGTTTTGCCCGACTACCATACAAATTCGTGATGCATTACTGCCTATTGATCATATTCACACTGGCTGCTGCCCTAGTTAGGATTTCTCATCCCAATCGAAATGTAACTGAATTAGAGAGGGTGAGCATCATATTGATTATCATTTTGACTATCTGAGATAGCCATACTTTGAAAGACTAGTTTTTCGACTGGATGATGATTGAAGGTGAAATGAAACTTTTGACTGCGGTGGGATTGGAACCAGCTACCTTATATTTATCGGAATATACTATTGAACAGTACGAGTAGTTGGAGACCACTACTCTGGTTGATCTGTAGAGTTTAATAGTTAAATTAGAGTAATCTAAACACAGGACGCCTGATTCCCTCATTTGTGACTGAAGTCATTGTCAACTTTTTGCTACACCATTGATTAGTTTATCGTCATATATGAGTGAAATGGCCATTTGGTGTTTAGATCAACTGATGAAATCTACAGATTTCTAACTACTCAGGTTTTTTTTCAGTAGTATACTTAGTTCGAAATGATAATATTCCTTCGACAAGACCCTTAAAGAGTCACCCTTAAATCACAGTGAGTCAATTGTACAAAATTGTTAGCTAAAGCATCGAGTTTGGCTACTTAGTACTATGTATGTGTAGCTGTCTGCCTATCTGTCTGTCTGTTTATCTGTCTGGCTAGACATCATTACAATAATTTCTGTCCATCCAGTTCGAGGTTCTAACATTTGTTTTCACTTTAATCTTATATCAGTGTGTTGTATAATTTATAGTTTCCCCTTTCATTCAATTTTTTTTAAGACGTTCCAACACCCGTATCATCAGAATCTAAAAAGGAAAATATGGTAAGTCATGTTGTGAATTTTGTTAAAATTATCGTATTTAAGTTTATCCAAAGTGATTTAAACGAACTCTATGAAGTCTTAAGTCTTTCAGAGCTTTTCAATCGTATGGTTTTCATGCTTCACGTCGACTTAACATGCGACTAGTACACCTCACTGATCACCTCTTCATTAGAACTTCAGGATATCCATCCCGAAGTAAAACACCAATATAGTTTGACGTTTATAAGTGGAGAGCCTATGTATCACAAACTGACAATGGTTGAATGATCAACGTATTCACCACAAGATCTGAAGTTTCTGAGTTCGGTCTCTGTCAGGGTCGTGTATTCTTATTGAGGTCTTCATCTCTTCGTCTGACTACAAATGGATTGACCTTATCACAGGGAACGTTTCGGTAGACCCTTAATACTTGGATTACATAATCCTGTCACGTGAAGATGTTGACAAGATGTAGACTCTTCTCGACACCTTAACTGGCAATTTGAAAATGTTTCGGATGCGTTTCTCAACAACTAAATGTAAGTGGTTACACCAAGACTGGTCTTCAACCCTACCTCGACTAACGATAATGAGTGAAGTGGTTGAGTGCATTGAACACTTCACTCACCTTAGAAGTCGGATCAACCCTGGTACATTGGTCAGTCACCGACAAAGTCACCACACGGATACAAAAGGCTCAACCGGCTTTCGCCATTTCACACCATCTGTGGCACCACCACAATATCCGACTGACTATTATGGGTTGAGTGTAGTGTGCTCCAGTCCGCTATCTTCCACTCTACAGCTGTAAAACGTAACCATTAAAGGTGAAAAATATGAGGCTTCACGTGTTTGACCACCATTTCCTTTGTAGTATAGGTCGTGTAATTCAGGACTCAGACGTAGAGTTTTAGGTAGGAGAGGTAATTCAGTTGTTGATACGGTTGTGGGACCTTCATCGACCGAGATGGCTGGCTGGGTCATATGTTACGCATGCCTTGCCACCGTCAGTCTCGTCACACAATGTTGGTGGAGGTAGGTTTAGCCTAGAGAATGGCTCAGGTCGGTCAGACTTAAACATGGCATCAATGCATGAAGTCCTCGATTGTTGGTTTGAGTGATGTAGGGGGATGCAGACTAGTGGGTTGGGGTTCAAGTAAAGAGCCTTTAATAGGGCGATCTGTTTGTTGGGTATCCTTTTCTATGAAGCATACTGCTATACGACTTCTCAATCAATGGAGCCAAATGGCGCCTTCAGGTCGCGAAATACAGCTATTGTCGGGCTTCGGTAAGCGTGCCTGTGTTCCAGAACGTGATGGAATGTGAATATTTGGTCGATACACCCGTGGCCAGATCTAAAGCCCACCTGGTTTTCTTGGGCCTGCGGTTCCCGAGCTCCACTCATGCGTCTGATGATTATAGAACTTAGAATTCTGAGACACTATGTTCGTCAGGATGATTCCTCTATGGTTATCAAAAGAGAACTTCTCGCTTTTTTTGAAGACTGGGATAATCAGTAATTGAGGCCAGTCAGAGGGGACCACTCTACCACCGTCCTTAAATACCTCAGGGATTTGTTCATCTGAACCTTCTGGCCTTCCTCGATCCAAGTTACTTACAGCTTTCTTGACTTCTGCTAGTGTTGGGGGTGGGGGTGGGGGCTTTCTCAGTGTTCGATTCAGGATCAAACTCAATGGTGGGCAATACAATTAGTAGCTGCAGGCCAGTTGGACTGTTCCTTGAAGTGTTCCACCCATCGTTCGAGTCATCTTTCTTGTGAGTGATAAATACGAAATAACCAGTTGGAAGCACGAATACGGAATAATACACAATAATGGATTCCACTCAACATGCTGTAATTATTTCCGAATTATAAGTCATACATAACTGGATGAGAGGTGAATTGAAAGCTGTTCAACTGAGGTATACAATAATGTTACCAATTAAGTCATAAGGTGACCTATAAAAGAACATGTTTTGTGCATTACGATCCACCGCTTAGATTGGCGTGCAATGCCAGGGGAAGTTCCATTAAATTGGAAAGAGGTCCAAGATGACCAGACCAAGACGTGGTGTTATACCACTGTTGATCTGAGCAGTCTGGAGAGGTGTAAAATACCTATCTGTGTCCCTCGAGACGATAGGAATCAGTGATTGAGGACTCTTGGTGACATGGCTTCTGTGAGGTGTAGCAACTTGAGCCGATGCGTCTATGTTTGCCAGGTTCCACGTTGATTCGTTCTGTCTGATCCGGTGTACAGTTAAATAGTTCAAACTTTATTTGTTCTCAACATAGTAAAGAACCTGAATATCACTTGAACCTATTCACAACCAATCAGATTATTGAGAAAATTCAACAAGTTTCTTCAACCTGTGTATTTGTTCTCTCTTACTAATTAGTAATTCTGTAAAGAATTTGAGCATATTACCACCATTTGTCAATACAATAAAAAATAACTTGAATTATCATTTTGATTATCTGAGATAGCCATGGTTTGGTAGAATAGTATTTATACTGAGTAAATGATTGAAGGTGAAATGAAGATTTGGACTGCGTTTGGATTCGAGCCAGTGACCACCAAGTTTCCGGCCCAATACTCCACCAACTGAGCTAAGAGGATTTCGTAGCTGACCGGTAGCTGCTACTCTGACGTGGTCGTCGGACTTGCATATCACAATGACCCAACGAGCTATGCTGGTGGAACGCTTGTTCCCTCGAGGTTCTACCATACCAGAAAGGTCTGTTGGATAGTGGTTAGACGAAAAGCAGTTACCGTTATAGTGCGAATTGCTACACTATGATGGAGGTGTGAGGGCGAAGTCGTACTGCTGTTAGCTGGATGGGATGTTGACAGCAGTAAGGTGTTTCTCTTGGATGACCAGCAGTGCCATGCTGATGCTGCCTTTTCAGTGGGAGGGGGGGGGTTAGAAAAGGTCGGCCCCAAAAATAACACACTCCACCATGCCCCACGGTCTATCAGGCCAGTGGTGTTGGTTCACTTGTCGTTTCCTTTCGACCATCCGGCCTCAAAGATACAAAAGTTCGAAATAATCATACTCAAAAGGCTTCGTGTGCCAGGCCTCAAGCAGATGTTCGATGGGCTCTGTGGTCACACAAATCTCTTTTAGGTACTTTAAGAAGAAATAACCTTCTACGGTGTGGGCAGCTGGGAAGTATCAATCGCCCTCACAACTCTATCAGCATTCAAGTTTCCTGGAGCCGTCAAGTTGTCAACACATATTACCGACACTCGTCAGGAATACAATTACCTTTAGAATGTATCACTTTCCAACTGTCTAACATATAGAAGGTTGATTTCAATTTTATACACTAATTGAAATGAATTTTTGTCTGAAAAAATTTTCAGGTTGAATTCTATCTGAGTACTCCAGCATTTCGACCAAATTTATCACAACAAACTGATCTATCAAATCTTGGAGATATAGAAGAGAACTTTGAATCGATTGAATCAATGTCACAGATGAATAGAAATCCTAATTTACCCAATAATGATTTAGCATATAATAGTAATATTGACTCAGGAAATACTCATACTACTACTACTACTACTACTACTAATACTACTGGTACATCAACAGTTACTGCTACTGCCACACCCGCTGCAACAGCATCTCTAGTTGAAGAAGGACGTTTAGTTGATCAACAAGAAATGTTTTTCTCACTACTACTTGAATCACAATCTCGTCGTATGGATGAACAACGTTGTTATTTACGCAGTAGTCAAGATACTGGTACAATTCAGTCTACTGATGAAACTGTTACAACTAATTCACCACAAGAATTTATTCATATTCAATCATCTGAAAATTTTTATCATACTCCTGATGATAATAATAATTCTCCTCTTCAAAGTCATCAATTAGGCGCAAATGAAGAAGCCTTCTTTGATTTGATTGAAGGAGTTCAGGTAATTTCTTTGTATATCACACATTCAGTAGTATCATAATATATATATCATTAATATAAGGCTAAAATTTGGCTAGTGTAGTAGTAAGTTGTAATTCCAGTGAAGTAACAGTATCATTTACTGGATAACAACGTTTCGGAGACAATTTATTGTCCATATTCATATGAAGTCAGGTAACTCCATAACTTTGACACATAGTTTATGTAGTCCTAGATTCGGTTATCAATCTCTTCCTTTCTCCCTCCCTCCACCCAAATAGTGCGGGTAGTTTTAATGTCGAATGGCAGATGATTGTACTGGAAAAGACCTCGATGGGTATTGATGGTTAGTAATTCACGACATTCTGGAGAGACTTTGACTTGTAAGTATACTTCCGGCAGATCGATTTTCGTGAAATAAATCATCTGGAACAGGTAAGGGATGATAATATTGCTCCAAAGCAGCATTTAACCCTATCGAGAAATCAGCACATAATTGAATGAAGCCACTAACTTTCTTTATTACGATGATTGGATCAGCCCAAGAAGAATGGGATACTGGAGTAGTGACATCCTGTTCCTGAAGTCGTTTCAGCTCTGCCTTGACGAGAGGTAGCGATGCATATGAGACGGGCCTTCTAGGACGAAAAACAGGTGATGCATTTGGTTTCAGGCATAGGACGGCTTTGGTTATGATAGAGTGACCGAGGCCAGTTTGGAATACCTCTGAATATTCAGTACTAATATCGTTAAGGTTCGTCGTGAGGTCTGATGGTGCTTCCACTTTGTTGCATACCCTATTTAGTTGAAGGTTGACGAGTTGCAACCTATTTAACCAGTCGAGACCCAGAAGGTTTAAATCAGCGTCAGATAAATAACAAGTTCCATTTATCGAAGTATCGTGAAAAGATACAGTACATGATAACTGACCTGTCAGTGGTAATCGGCAGTTTATGCAGTCTTCTGGACAGGAGGTCGGCCAATCTTCCATCATAGCTTATTGGAAATCATCGTAATATGGGAAGGTGTGTCGATTTCTAGTCGTACTGAATGGTTATTTATCTGGACGGTGATATATTTTCTTCGCGAATCAACAGGATCGTGTAACCTACAAAGTTTGTTTCTAAGTCAATTTGTTGGTTTGACTGCCATTGTAATCCCAACCAGTCTTATTGAAAATTCTTCGTAATGCTTCTGAGGCGCCTTCCTTGTATATTAGGCAAAGCAGCAGAGGCTTTGAATTCTCCCTTAACCTTGTCACAATTATTACCATTAGTAGTGGAATTATTATGAGTAACACCTGTATTACTACTACTACCACTGCTAATATTCTCCTTTCGATTTCTCATGAATTTATTGATACATTTTGGTGGGTAATTATTGAGACGTAGGGTATTCTTGGCGTGTCTAATTTCTTGTCGCAGATTTTCCTATCTACTAGTAAGCTTTTTCGCTGTATCACTTACGCATCTAACTAGGCCTGCTTTAATTGAAATGGAGTGTGAGGATTCGAAGTCTAATTAGCGATTCGAATGGGTAGGTTTCCTATAGACACTAGTCTCTAGATCTCCTTATTGTGTTCGTTTAATCTTACAATCCAACATTGCTAGCTTAACCTCATCACTTTCTAAGTCACAGGTAGATTGGATTAGATTCACTACTGAATTTATATTTGTGCCAAGAACCTATTGATGTGTTCCGATTTCAGTACTGTAAACGTATCATCTACATATCGAAACCATATCTTTGGAGTAGGACTAAATGTTTGAAGGGCCATCTGTTCCCAGCTATCCATAAATATGTCTCCGACGATAGGGGATATTGATGATCCCATGGTTACCCCCTTTATTTTGTTTATATATTTTACTTAGAAACTTAAAAACTGTAGACGTCAAGCACGATCTTGTGCCTTAGAAATAACCTTTGTATGTTAAAAGATCCTACTGATGCAATAGGTCAGTATATAATTTGGTTTCGCAAATCCCTTGCGATGATTCTGAGATCAAATACGTAAGTTAAGGTAGTCGAATAGCCAGGGTCGATTAGAGTACAAAGCACAAATACTTGGATAAATCAAGATTAGTAGATCGAAATAAGATAAAAAAAATTTAGAGAAAATCTCGACCATAGCTGTAGATACAATTGCACACAATCACACAGTATGTAGTGGGATAGAGCAACAGTGTTGAAAACCAACTTAATTGAGTGGATGGAGAGAGCGATTCATAACCGAATCGCTGTTTATCGCATCCAACACCAAATACATGCAATCGAAATGATTTTACACCTATTCCAGATATACGAAAATTTCTTCTACCCTTGTCTTGTTACAAAAAAGGAGAGAAAATGAGAATTCTCCCCCGATGACTCAATGGCAATGTGCTGGCCACGGAACCTGGTGGTCCTAGGTTCATTCCCTTGAGTGTAGAGTCATGGGTGTTCACTGCTGATGATTCCCATACTAGGACAAAACAGCTGTGCAGTCCTCTAAGGTCTCCAATGTTAGTCCATGATGAATACCAACCTGAAACTAATAAATCCCCATAAGCCCTTGACAATTATTTCGAGACAAAATGAGGTGAATAGTCACACTAATTACTAGAGGAATAATAAATTGGTAACTGTCTCCTTTTGAACACAGTTCCGGTTGAACCAGCCGGATAACGAAGGCTTCCGCAATTTAAAGGTGTGATTTCTTTTGTTTGTTGACGATTATGAAGGATTTCATCACGTCTTGTGTCATAATGGTGACCATTTATTCCACTATTGAACAAGAATGAACCTGTGGCATATGCTCAGCGATCCCGGTAGACAAACGCCCACAAACTCTCATTTCTACCTCACACGACCTCCTCTATATCACCCTGCAATGCCCACCTCGTCGTTTCCCCTTTGGATTCCACTCGAGGACCTAGCCCGGCCTTGGTGCGTGATATCCCCAAATAGTCTTCTTAGTGTATGCCTGTTCTAATCCAATCCATCTCCACTTTCTTCTACTGCATATTTGTTGAACGATAGGTTGTTGGTTGGTTCGTTGCAGGGCCAGCCAGAGTTCCTTGTTGCTTACTCTTATTATTCTGGCCATCTGATCTCCATCTTCAGTGTCAGTATCGAGTGAGCGTAGGTGGCAGCTGTTGATGTTATGTATGTGAACAGTTTTTTGGAAATACTTTTCGTAAGGCGCCAAGTCTCGCAAGCATCACCTAGAAGCACTGAGTTTACTGACATTCGTGTTGAAGATCCGGTTGTTGTTCACGCCTTATGCTGAATGGAGTGGAGTGGAATGGAATAGATCCCCACATTGATTATTTCAGATTAATGAAGGCCTGTCTTGCTGTCTTTCCGATCCTGGCTTTGACATCCTCATCTGTGCCGCCGCCGCCGCATGTAGTTGAAACGATGTTGCCTAGGTGGGTATGTTGAAGAAGGCTACTTCCCTTAGGTTTCTCACGTTGATGGTGATTGATGCTTGTTGTTGGCTGAATATCTTCACAGCTCATATTTTACTCTTAAAATATTTTTATTCTTACATTGAAAAATAATTAATCAAAGCCTATTGCCTAAAGTTACTACTAAATTTCTTTCGATATTATTCTATAATTATGATGATCAATAATGTTCATTCATGCCTATTTGTCTTTTCCACTTAGAATAATGTTTCATTCATAGGAGTTAACTACTGTCTGTACTCATTCAAACTGTATTATTTATCCAATCGTGAAATGCATAGTCGAGTGTAGATGAGTGGTAAATAAAGTAGCTGATGATGATTTCATATTACTTTACTGATATTATCAGTTATCCATTCAATTGTTTCGTAAATACTTCTAATAGTCAAGAGAGATATAAATTTCTTTGTTTTTTAAGATACTACTGATTTTGTATACTACTAAAAGTCATTCAGAAATGAAATTCATTGATTTCTTTTTTTCCTCTTTTCTCAAAATGTTTTCGAAAATGCAATGAATGCCTATTCTTCACTTCTATTAATGTCATACTTTAAAGATTTTAGATATGTGACTTATTAGTAAGACACTTAACTATACCTACTTGTAATTTCCCATTGATATATCGGATCAAATTGGTCAACATGTATTAGTAAGATGAGATATGATGCGGTTACCTTGATACTGTTTGAATATTTGTTAACTTTTTAGTTTGTAATGTGTTGGTTAGTGGTGGAATCTAGAACGCATGTTTCGTCCTATTTGGGGCTCATCGGCTGTGGATGTACTTGCACTCCAGTGAGGGATCTTGTTCCCATTAAGGCGGCATGACAGCCATGTCTTGTCCGATAGCTATTACTGATTCCAGTTTGTTGATATACTTGTAATTCTCCCTTTTTATACTGAATCGAATTTCTCGACACCTGATGACAATATACTCTCCCATATTGGGGATCTCTCGATCTTGTTTGATTATTCATTATCTTGAGTATAGAATGGCAGTCAACTCTACACCTCAACTTTATTGACTTTGAGAAGGCCTTTGACAGCATCGACCGAGAGGTAATTTGGAAACTGCTTCAATACTACGGTTTTGGTGCCACAAACCTTTATCCGCCTCATTCAACAACTATATGAAGATGCCACATGCCAACTAATTCACAATAGGAAGCTCAGCTCAGTGATGACTTTGAAGCGAAGTGCAGACAGGAGTTAAACAAGGTTGCCTACTGACCCCCATGATATTCTTGAAAGTAGTCGACTTGGCTGGATCATGCAGCAAACAGTGGGGAGCTGTGAGAAGAGGGGGACACGCTGGCTGGACTGTATAAAAAAACCTAGAAGATCTGGATTTCGCCAATGACTTGTGTCTGATGTCTTGTCACACAAACGTGAAGATCTACAAGCAAAAACTAAGAAGTTGTCAGAAGAGGCGAGGCAGCGAAGACGGGACTTCAAGTGAATATAGAGAAGACAGAAGTGATGAAGGTACCGCACCAACAGCAACAACAAACTCCAATCACCATCATGAAGGGGAGAAACTTAGAGGAAGTAACCTCCATCAACTACGGGTGGCACAGGCACAGAGGAGGATGTCAAAGCCAGCCAGGATCGGAAAAGCAAGACAGGCCTTCATTAACCTGAAACCAGTGTGGAAATCTTCTGCCCTCAGCATGCGGAACAAGATACTGATTTTCAACACCAATCAAGTCAAGTCAGTGCTTCTGTATGATTGAGAGACTTGGCGCCTTACGAAAGGGATTTCCAACAAACTACACACATTCATCAACAGCTGCCTACACTGGCTCCTTACTGAAGATCAGATGGCCAGAATAATAAGAATAAGCAACGAGGAGCTCTGGGAACGAACCAACCAAGAACCCACCACTCAACAAATATGCAGTGGAAGTAAGTGGAGATGGATTGGGAATACGCTGAGAAGGCCATTCGGTGATATCACGTTCCAGGCCAGTCATTCGAGTGGAACTTGCGTGGGTGTCAGCTGAGGGTGACATGGAGGAGATCATGTGAGGAAGAAATGAGAGCTTGTGGGCAGTTGTGAAACCAGGTTGAAGAGACTGCAGAGAAGAGAGTGGAATGGAGACGTGCTATTGAAGCCCTGTGTTCCACTAGGTACCCTCAGGACAAATAATAATAATAATAATAATTCATTATCTTGAAATATGCCTAATGGATAACACTTTTGATGTTGCAGGTGATTAGTTCTTGTTTTGAGTCTCAATGGGAACAACATTACCCACTGAATTTCAGCTGACGAGTTCCAAACAGGGTGAAACGTGCCTCTTGGATTCCACTGCTGGCAAGCACCAATTAAATTTCAAGTGAGACTCTGCCTACACCACGAATATGCTCAAGGTCATTGAGTGGGTTTTTATTTTTTCACTCCAAAAGATTGAACTTTATTCATTCTTTTTATAAGTCTCATATTACATATATTGAGTAATCAGTTAGTTTTTGAATGTGTTTTCACCAAACCACTTAACTTCATTTTTTAAAATATTTTCTTAGGGTGATCGAATGAATGATCAACGAGCTAATCTATCTGTTTTCCCTGGTCTACGTTCTGGTCCAGGTCTTCATTTCTTTGAAGGTGGCAATCGATATTTCGGTTCAACTAATTCAATGTTCAAGTCAACCAGTAGTGGTGCAAGTGATGGTCTTCCTGAACCAAAATTATTTAGTAGTAATAGTGAAAGTGTAACTGGACTTTTGTCTGATGCAACTTGTTGCATGCAAAAAGCTGGAAGCAGCAGTGGAGGTGGAGAAGGAGGTACACGTGGACGACGTGGGCATATTGTTGTATCATCTACAGGTGGCGGTGGTGGTGGTGGTGATTTAGACGATGAATTTTTAGAAATGATATTTCGAATCCAGGTATGTGGATTACTTTCCTCATGAATTCCCCTGTATAAGTTTGAAAAGAAATAAATTACCAGACTAAAATGGATTTATTTTACTAAACAGTTTAACAAGCTTCAATTCATTGAAAGAAAAAAAATATCTGTCAGTGATTAAGACAAACAGGATTCTGATCACAAATATTTTGATAGTATTGATCACGTCTGGTGGAATCACCGTGTGAGAAATGTTGAGGTCAGGCGAGGGGTACTGGGCAAGTCGATTGGTGAGGTTATGAACCTTAGTCGATTGAGGTGGCTTGGACATGTACTGCGCATACCAAGCCCCCGCTTATCTCGAAGTGCCATGCTAGAGAAAGAAGGTTCAGGGTGACCAGACCAAGACATGGCACCAATCGGAACCAATTGGAGAGATTTAGACTACTTGGTTACTTAGTTCAGTTCTCTTAGTGATATAACTGGAAATCGGTCAGTGTCTCAGATGTATTCATTCTTTGACATCTTCAAATTGTTTAATAATGTCACATGACTTTGTTTACTTTGATATTACTCTTATTCTATCCACCTGTTCTTTGCATACTTCTGTGAAGTATCGCAACTTGAAGTGATACACGTGTGTGCGCGAGGTTCTACGTTGATTTCATCTCAGTCAGTCAAGTCGAACAGAAATAGTAAGTAGGTCATACAGCAAGTGAATAAGAAGAATGAGCAAACGACTGTGAGTTGAGCTGCGTTAGTTGAAAAGTATCCTCTGTGAATAAATTTGACTGAACAAACGATAATGTAAGTATAGAGTGGAGCAGAGGTAGACGGAGGTCGACTATAGCTGCTTAATTTTGTTGACAATCACCTTAATAAACTTTAGGAGAACTGAGCTTATTTATTTGTTTATTATCTGAAAGGAATTGAAGACATCTACCTGATGATCAGTGTCAATCAAATGTCGAAGTGGTCACGTTGTTCAGAGTGTTACTCTCTCCTTAAATCTAAGCTATCGGGAATGTGTTCCGAAAGTCTAAGGTATCTACTATCCCAGCTACATATAAATTGGTTTACAAAGTGAGGGTTAAAATTAGTTAGTGAATCTGTCGATTTTTATACTGGACTAATGACCACATTATCTAGCGTTCAGGAATTCCGGTCATCAGTCATCAGTTCCCTTTGAAATTCAGGCGAATGACTGTGGTTTTGCTTGGCATTTTGTCAGTTTCTATTTTTAATTGGTTCCAGGTTTAGTATTCCGTTGTCCTACCTTTCGTACAAATAGAAATTGTACGACAGATACCCATCATAATTCTAAAGAGATGCAGGTATTTTCAGGGAAGAGTCTCTCTTGTCGGCAATTTCATTTTGTGTGCTGTACAAATGTATAACATTTATCTATTGTGTTAGAGTTTATTAGTTATAAGTGGTTTATCGGACTTGACAATAAAGGTTCTATCATTTTGACTGTCTGGTATAGCTACAGTTCAAGAGACTGGTGACAATTGAAGGTGAAATGAAAATTTGGACCGTGGTAGGATTCGGACCAGCGACCACTGGGTTTCCTGCATAGTGGTTTATCAACTGAGCTACAATGCCTAACTGCTGACCAGATTTTAATTCATTTCAATGACTATGAGTTTTGTCCAACTACTGTGTGAATTGGTGACATGTTCCTACCACTTAATCGTACTTACACTGGCTGGCCCTATCAGGACTTCTCATCACAATCGAAATGTAACTGAATTAGAATGAGAGGTGGAGCGTCTTATTGATTATTGATTGATGATTGAAGGTGAAGCAGTTCAGTTGGTAGAGCATTGGGCGGAAAAGCCGATGGTCGCTGGTTTGAATCCCACTGTGGTCTAAATTTTCATTTCTCCTTCAGCTATCACCCATTAACAAACGTTTTGTCAACATATGAACCGTCGTTAAAATTTAAGAAAAATGTGATGTATACTCAAAATTATTCAGAATATGACTGGAATTGTATAAAGATTAGTAATTAGTAACTGAAGCGTAATCAGAAACAGCATAGAAACAGAAATGAATAGTTAATTACGTAAGAAGTGAACAGTGTAGAAAGCAAGAAATGATTTCAGGGACTGGAAGTTCAATACTCAATACAGAAAATACGAAGTTTCATTTCACTTCACAGATGAGTTTTGGACGAAGACATTCTTGTGTTCACGATCATCTGTTATCTTCTTCTAACCACGTGGGATTGTGTTGCTGAACCCTTTTGGATATCAGTCGCATCGAACAATCTATATTCATGGTTCCAAAAGAGCAGGTGAATTAATGCATACATTTTAAGGACAGCTTATATGTTGACGCTGGCTTCAGGAAGTACAAATCATATGCGCATCAAATTGCAACACTACGCTACGCATCATCATAGAACAAAGCATAGAATGGCAGTCAACTCAACTCTACCTCAACTTTATCTACTTTGAAAAGGCCTTCGACAGCGTTGAACGAGAAGTAATTAGGCCGTTGCTTCAACACTATTCAGTGCCACAAACCTTTATCAACATTATTAAACAGCTATATGCTATATGATGCTACATTACAAGTGATTCACAATAGAAAGCTCAGTGATGCCTTTGAAAGGAAGTGAAGGCTGCCGCCTACTATCACCGATCATCTTCCTGATTGTAGTGGACAGAATCATGCAGCAAACAGTGAGGAGCGACATGATGGACATACGCTGGCTGAACCAATGAGAAGACCCTAGAAGAAGATTTGGACTTCCCCGATGATAATTTATGTCTAATGTCTTGTCATACAAACACGGAAACCTATAGAAGAAATCTCAAGAGTTGACAAAAGAGGCAGGGCAGCGAAGACAGAACTTCAAGTAAATATGGAGAAGACACAGGTGATGATGACACCAAACCAACACCTACAACACCTACAACAACAACAACAACAACAAGAAGAAGCTCTAATCACCATCACAAGGGAGAAACTTAAACGAAGTAGTCTCTTTCACCTACCCAACTACACAGCATCGTTTCAACTACAGACAGCACGGGCACAGACGAGGATATCAAAGCCAGCCACGATCAGAAAGACAGCAAGACAGGCCAGCGTTGATTAACCTGAAACCAGTGTGGAGATCTACTCCACTCCACTCCACTCCACTCCACTCCACTCCACTCCACTCCACTCAGCATGTAGCGTGAACAACATCCGCATTTTCAACACAACTGTCAGTCAAGTAAGTCAGTGCTTCCATGTAATGGTTCACAGACTTGGCGAGTTACGAAAGCGATTTCCAACAAACTACAGACATTCATCAACAACTGTCTACACTGGCTCAGTACTGAAGATTAGATGGCCAGAATAATTAGAATAAGCAACAAGGAACTCACTCAGGTTGGCTGACAACGAAACCAACCAACAACCTATCATTCCACAAATATTGTGAAGGAAGTGTAGATGGAAATGGATTGGGGATACACTGACATGGGTGACTGGGGACATCACGCGTCAGGCAGACACTCAAGTGGAATCCAAAGGGGAAACGACCAGTTGGGCATCCGGGTTGAGAGTAACATAGAGGAGATTATGTGAGGAAGAAATGAAAGCTTATGGGCGTTCATGATGCCAGGTTTAAACGACTGTAGAGATGAAAGTGCAATGGAGGGGGGTGGGGGGAAAGGTGCTGAATATTCCACTAAGGATTTTGGAGTTTATTGCTTATATTAATATTTCTTTCTTTTTTTTTCTATACTCAACCTATTTAGGGTAATATAGTCCAGTTGCATAGTTATGATTTTATTGCTTGTTATCAAAAGTTATACCCCGTTGAACATGGAGTATCTATTGTGACTCTATAGCCAAATGGATAACATTTTAGGGTTTGACATGATGATGGATTCCAGTTTCAATGGAGAATAAGATCATTCACTAACAGGTAGGTACATCCATCTCACGAACCGTATCAGAAGAGGAAATACAACTCTTGGATTTCATTACTAACCAATCACTTTCATTCCTATCATAACTCGTATAATACTTTGTAATACGCTTCATATTTCAAGAGTATAATATTTTCGATTATAAAATAGCACTTTAAAAAAAAAATAATTTTTTTTCTTTCATTATTTATTCGACAGACATGTACACGAATTAATGATCAACGAAGTAATCTACCAGATCCACTTAGTCAACTTCACTCTCAAACTAATCCAACTAATCATCAAAGTGATAATGGGAATACAACACATATAACTAGTCAAACAGTAGTAACAGTATCTAATTCACACAGAGAATTAATATCATACACTTCATCCGATGTTATAACATGTAATCTTACAAATCGTTGTTCTGCTCCAGCTATTCTTGATGATAATGATGATTTATTTGCATTGATACAACGTGTTCAATCTACTCGATTAGATGAACAACGATGTTATCCACCTTTACAACAATCACAATCATCTTGTTTATCAACTTCATTATCATCAACATCTTCATGTATAGATCGTAGTGAAAATACTATTTCATTGGATACAACATCAGGAAATATTGTTCGTAAATCAAGCGGTCGACGTCGTGTTGGCAGTCGAAATAGTAAACGTACAAATCATCAAAATAAATAAGAATTTTATGATTGTTTTTCCCCTCCCCCCCTCCCCCCGTATAAAACTAATCCATATTTTAATGTTTTGTCGAGTTATCTTCAAAAAAAAAGGCGGGGGGGGTATGCTTCTTTCTATGAGGATAATACTGTAATATATACATATCTCAGTTGATGTGAGCTTCTATCTTCTTGTCTACTTTGAATTGTTACTATTCAATGTTCGATTCACTTGATAATGGTACTTTGATAACGATTTTATTGTTTGATCTTCCATTATATCACCATTCTTTGTTGCTTCTGATGTCAGCACAACATTTTCTCGTCTTCAATCATAGTCTGTTTCTGCTTATCCATCGTAGTTATTTTATTCCATCGAAAAAAAGCAGCAATTGTGTGTGTGTGTGTGTATGTGTGTGTGTGTGTAACTCCATATTATTCGCTGTTATCGTTCACATGTACAAGTTTGTGTGTATCGTGCTCCTCGTTGTTCACGATGGTGTTGTTATCCTCTTCATTGATGATTGCATCTGTTATTATTCCAGTGGAATGATTGATTTGCATTTTCCTTCTACTATTCATCAAGCAGTTGAAAGTTGACAATAACTTGGTAAGTAGTGAAAAATGGAGTAGTAGTGCTTAAAAGCAAATAAACAAAACAATATCACCTGTAAAGAGGAATATTCTAGATGCTTTTTTTTATTGATCCCAGTTTACACTTCTCTGTGCTTTTCTTTTCTCTCTTGTTTATGTACTTTAACTAATCGTATGTGTGTGTGTGTGTGTGTTTGTGTATCTGTACCTGGACCATGGAGGATTTCTTCAGATTCAAAATATGTTTGTGTAGATTTTTGTTTATTCATTCTTTCTGTCCTACTCTGAAAACTTACTTGTATACATCAATAAAAGTGTATTCTGCATTTACTGTTGTGGTGTTGGCGGTGACGGCGGCGGCGGCGGCGGCGACAGTAATATTAGTAACGATACTGCCGTTGAATACTTCTGCTAATTGTTCTTTGTCCACTGCATTGTATCCCTCTTTCTGTGTTTATATAATGATCAGTTATCCCTCATTTTTCAATGTTTTATTTCTTGGTTGTTATATACTTTGAAAAATTTTAACGTATGAGTAATAATCAATATGTGTAACTTATGTTTTTATGTCTTTTGTCATCATTAAAGTTTTTGCCCCCGTATCCCCTACCTCTTCATTTACTTCATTTCTTTGTTCTCATCCTCATCAATATTTTCTTGTTTCATCTCATTTTGTCCAGATTATTGAATATAGAAGAGAGAGAGAGAGAGAGAGAGAAAAAATAAAAGAATACTTATATTTTGGGATAAATTAATTGTGTTGTTAAGCTTTTTGTGTTTCATGATTGTATGTGTGTCTGTGTGTGTGTTTATGGAATGAGTTCTCATCCTGGAATTGAGCATAGACAGGCTTTACTGCTGCCTGTTTCTTGCGGCCAGTAAGGCACAGACATATATTTAATCTTGCTGGCGTGTGATCGGAGGCCTAGCAAGCAATAAGGAAAGTGCAACAATCCTCTAACGATGGCTTGATGTTAGCGAATGATATGCTGTTTGAATTTAATGGTGACCAGAAACAAGGGATTGTCAATACAACATGTTGAATCGTTTGCATAGGATTATGTAGATACCTTCTAGATAGATCCCTTTCGGATTGCCTCAGCCTACCCTATTTCCCCTGCAATGATGACTATATCTGAACACTTTGCTTTCTGTAGCGAAATTGGCAAAGCGAAAGTCGGATGTGAAGAAACTGTCACATATTCTTAAAAGACAAAGAAACTATACCTACTGATATAACCAAATAAAATTTTCAAGCTTTCAAAAAGTTTTAAAAAATAAAGAAACATACCCATTTGATCATAAGAGAAAACCGAAGACGATTGCAGTGAAGAAGAAATTTTCTTTTTTATGAAATCATTCTTATGGGTGTACATTTGTGAATATATGGTAGAAAGGATACGGCATCTTGAAGTAATTCGTGATCAGATTATTATTATTATTTGTCCCTTGGGTTCCTAGTCGAACATAAGGCTTCAGTAGCATGTCTTCAGCGCACCCTGTTCTCTGAAATCTTTGAACCTGGCTCCACGACAGCCCACATACACTCATTTCCTCCTCCTATGATCTCCATCATGTCACCCTCAGATAGGACGCCCAACTTGTCGCTTCCCATCTGGGTTCCACTCGAGTGTCTGGCCTGACGCGTGATGTCCCCAGTCGGCTTTCTCAGTGTATACCCAATCCATTTCCATCTACACTCCCGTCACAATATTTTTGGAGTGATAGGTTGTTGGTTGGTTTCGTTGTCAGCCAACCAGAGTGAGTTCCTTGTTGCTTATTCTAACTATTCTAGCCATCTGATCTTCAGTATCAAGTGAGCGTCGGTGGCAGTTGTTGATGTGGTGTATGTGTACAGCTTGTTGGAAATCGCTTTCGTAATGCGCCAAGTCTGTGAACCATTACATGGAAGCACTGACTTACTTGACTGACAGTTGTGTTGAAAATGCGGATGTTGTTCACGCTACATGCTGAGTGGAGTGGAGTGGAGTGGAGTGGAGTAGATCTCCACACTGGTTTCAGGTTAATCAACGCTGGCCTGTCTTGCTGTCTTTCTGATCGTGGCTGGCTTTGACATCCTTGTCTGTGCCCGTGCTGTCTGTAGTTGAAACGATGCTATGTAGTTGGGTAGGTGAAAGAGACTACTTCGTTTAAGTTTCTCCCTTGTGATGGTGATTAGAGCTTCTTGTTGTTGTTGTTGTTGTTGTAGGTGTTGGTTTGGTGTCATCATCACCTGTGTCTTCTCCATATTCACTTGAAGTTCTGTCTTCGCTGCCCTGCCTCTTTTGTCAACTCTTTAGATTTCTTCTATAGGTTTCCGTGTTTGTATGACAAGACATTAGACATAAATCATCATCGGGGAAGTCCAAATCTTCATCTAGGGTCTTCTCATAGGTTCAGGCAGAGTGTGTCCATCATGTCGCTCCTCACTGTTTGCTGCATAATTCTGTCCACTACAATCAGGAAGATGATCGGTGATAGTAGGCGGCAGCCTTCTCTTACTCCTGTCTTCACTTCAACAGCCTCACTAGGCTTCCATTCGTGATCAAAGGTCAATATAAAAATGGGGAAATAAGGAATATGATTAAGAAATAAAAATTAGTTATATCATGAGGAATTATTTACAGTGATCGATCCTCTATGATGGTTGTGGCAAAGAAAGAGGTGGTACATACTTCATTTGAGCGCATAATGATAGTCTGGTTTTTCAAATTGTTAATGTTTCAGCGATCCTCAGATGTTTTAGCCTCACTGCTTTCCAGTGGCTTGGTCGCTTCTTGTAAGAAAGTTTGAAGGACTTACTGAAAGCAGCTAAGTGTTCTGTTGCAAAGGTGAAGATGCATTTCCGTCTTCCTGTTGCCAGGTAGACTGTGTAGCGTTTGGAAGCGCATTATATAAGCTGATGCTTTATGTGATCGATGTACTTTGCTTTAAAGGAGCAAGTTAACTGAAAAAAGTCGAAAACGTAATCACATAAGCGGGATAAGGGAATATAACATTGGAGATGATGAAAAGAAGTCAAGTGAATACCTATTCGAAGGATCATTTTTATTGATGAGAAATTCACCGAACCGAACCCAGTGCGAATAGAGAACGTCGATGGCTGACAGCGGGATCCAGGGCGTACGTTTCATCCTATGTGGGGTTCGTCCGCTGGGACTAGTGAAGCTAATGTTAGCAGGTGGGATAGTAATTGGATAAGTTTGAACAATGTAAGAACAAAGACATTTACAGAATACAGTATAAGCTCATTTTATTTCATGATCACTCATCAGATGCAAACACCTTACAATTGAAATGAATTGGTATTAGTAGTAACAGTGACATGCCATATTCTAAATATGTAGAAAAAAAACGAAGATTTGAAATCCAGGAATAACAATGAGGTAGTGGGTGAGTGAGTGAGTCAAGGAATCGCAGGATTAATAGTTACATATCTCAGCCGAAATTAATGGCAATTCATGTCTGATGAGATGGAGAATTCTGGAGCTATGGAGTGGGAGGACATCTGAAAGGATAGACAGAAGAATAAAAGTTGCAATGAGAATGAACTTCTCTGCTGACAGATTGATCTCACTTTACAATACATCATGCTCAATAACACAGTCAAAAGTAGACAAATACCCATCTCACGTCACCTACGACTGTGCATATCAATTCACCTGTACTTATCGAAGCAAGTAAATAGGACAGACTGAAAGAAGACTGTCTACTCGATTTTATGAGCATATTCAGAGAAATCAGTGTCTGAATGGTAGCAAGATGTTTACCAGTACAATCACCAGGCAACTGATGGAAACAGGACATGAAACAGATGTTTTACAATCCTTCAGGACAATGAACAAACAAAGAACACCATGTTGATTACAGTATGCAGAAGCTGTCACCAGCAAACATTTTCAACCTGATCTATCTACTCAGAAGGGGACTGTATTCAACCTTTACCTCAATAAATGTATACAACGTTTTGCATGTGTATGCATATAGTCTTCCCTCCTCTTTTAATTGCATCATATCTTCATTAATTACTTACTGAATATTAATCACTCAACGATTTTGGAGTTTTTCATGTAATCGCATAACCTATTAGTTGTTAGACAGTCTCTCTGTCCCTCTTTTTACACTGATTTTCGTTTGTTGTCCCGTCACCTGCACCCACTGCTCCAGAATTCTCCATCTCATCAGACATGAATTGCCATTGATTTCGACTGAGATATGTAACTATAAATCCTGCGTTTCCTTCACTCACTCACTCACTCAACTACTACCTTATTGTTATTCCTAGATTTCAAATCTTATTTCTTGCCCATTTACAGTATCCCCTACTTCATTATTACTACTAATACTAATTCATTTCAATTGTAGGATGTTTGTAGTTGATGGAAGGCCATGAAATAAAATGAGCTCATACTGTATTCTACAAAATGT